GGGGACAGAACGGGCTTACTCCATCCTCGTCCTCAATGATGTCCTTCCCGATGGAGGCCAGAGTCGTCCACTTGCAGTTGTTTGTTGCCCTCACTGCACACCTTTTGTGAGCCTTGAATTTACACACTAAGAAAAAAAAAAAAGGTCAACCATTGCTAAAGGAATATGTACTTTGGGACCAATGATAAAAGGAAATCACAGCATGAAATTTTAAAGGGCTGGCAGGGTGGGAAAAAAACCAATATTTTAAAGTTTCTATCATTACTCTTCAATAATAGTCATAATATTCTCAAGAGCAAACAGGGCTAGGGTTATATGAGGCACTTTTATCAAGCTACAGGCTGCTAAGAGATTCCACTTACTTCTTAAAAGAACAGAAAGGAGATGAATACGAAAAGAATTAGTTTTAAGGAGAGGGGACCACACGCACACAGAGAAGAAAATAAAATTCAGTAATACAAGAGTGCTGGTAACATCCAATTATGGTATCTGGATGTTAATTACAAAAACGCGTTTAATTTGTGAAAATCCAACGAGCTGTACATGTCTGAGATTTGCTTTTTTTCTATACATATATATATCTAAAAGTTTGAAAATATCAGTAAGATAAAGAACAGGGTAAGTCAGGGGAGCTTTAAAGTGCAAGTATGTCAAGAAAATATCCAGGCTTCACGGAAATCGGTTGATGAGGTCACAGAGATGGTACTGACTTTGAGAAGTATGCTGTTGGGATGACTACATGATAACGTAGAAAAAGGAATGATGAAGTGATGTTCTTGCTACACGCATCACTAATTCTCCCCAGTCACATTATCAAAAAGGTGTCTACAAAAGAGAAATAAGACGAAACAACCAAGAAAGAAGCAGCACACACAGGAAAAAACAAATTAACCAGAGATTATTTGAAAAATTAACCCTTGCTTATGAAAATCAGAACGCGACTACTACTAAGCTTATCCACCCTTCTAGGGACACCATATAGTGTTAATGGATACTGTGTTCATGTTAATGAGTTTCTGACTTTTCAGATAAATATTTAATAGTAGAGATCCTTGCAGTAGAAACGTAATAAGGCAGCTGTTGTTAAATTCCAAACGTAAGGTGACTCTTTTTCACGTGATTTTTTAAAATTTCTACCAGATTTTTAAATTTAAAGTAACAAATTCAAAGTTATGGGTAACACATCATTCTCTTTAAATTGTCCTAATCTGATGTAACACAAAAATGAAAGGATCAAGAGAAATAACTAAGGAATCCATAGGCAAATGTTTAGAATGCGTCAGGTATCAGGAATAGCCAATAGATAAATGGCCACTTAATTGGAGCTGGTTTTTCCTTAAAAAATATTAGCCTATAGACGCTGGAAATGTTTCCCTCATCTGCTCTTTTGGGTATGTGATAAATTCTTTCCTGGAAATCATACTATTTTTGTTATGAATAACTTTGTGACTCAAGCACAGATTTCATATAGAAAACAAATTTTCAACTGAATTTTATTGCTGATAAACAACAGTGTAAAGCAACAGCACCACAGGAAAAAAGCTTAGTTTGAAAAACAACTTAAGCATGACCTGCTCTGTCTTGCTCCAACTGACTATTTTAAATTATTTAATCTTTTAAACTATTTAAATGTTTTCATCTGTTATGGTATTTCTCAAAAGCATGGTCCTAGTTTTAGTTTTAAAAAGCAGGCTTGTTAATGTAAATGGCAAAATATCCTTCTTTCTTACGGGTGAGTTGTATTCCATTACATATATGAATGCTGCATCTTCTTTATCCATTCATCTACTGATGTGCACTTAGGGTGCTTCCATGTCTTGGCAATTACAAATAATGTTGCTGTTAATAGAGGGGTGTATGTATGTTTTTGAATTAATTCTTATTTTGTAGTTGGCTTTATTCCTTTGTTAACTATGTAAGTTTAAAAAGCTAAAGCTCTAAACGTTCTTAGAAACAATAAACAGTACATATATGTAAATTTTGTTAAATATGTGCAGTAAAAAAGCGCAGACTTTTAAAATAAGTACTTGCTATTAACAGTCAATAAGCATTTTCTAACAGGCAAAGAAGGAAGTATAAAGAAGGTTACAGTATAAGTTTGAGGCTTTTTGAAGATTTTTGCCATTACAAATTGGACAGCTCATTCAAAATAAAAATCACTTTTGTAAGAATAAAGTGCTTCATGTAATGAGCCTTGAGAATTAAAAGTTGCTTAATATAACATATAATGATAATAATAAAACAAACTGGACTGTAATTATGGTCACTAAGGAATGGAAATGATTAATAAGCATCTTAATTTGGTTGGGTGACAATCAATTTTCTCCAAAGAAGTTATTCTGAAATAAAGCACTTTTTTCTGATTTGTAAAGCCATTATTTCAAAACCACAGAACTTCAAAATTACACTGGTATGTAATAAAATTAAGATTCTTTATTGCAATATTCAGTCGTTACCACATAAGTGTTCAACAGTGGTTAAGACAAAAATTCGTAAGTACCCATGTTGAGATATTTGACACTGCTGACAAAAAAAAATCACCATTTAACTTTTTATTCTTAAATTACTGTTTAAATAACTGTAAAGCACAATTAAGCTCTGAAATTATAATTAACATTCTCAATTGATTAAGGGGATTATTTATGAAACATAATTTCTGTCTTCTATTTCTCATTCATGTATTTCATATATGCAAGGCTTTAAAATAATAATTTTAGTTATTATTCAACACAAACCTAGAAGACAAATCAGTAGAGATTCCTTTTACTGTGAAAACAAGGGCAGAAAGATTAAGTAAATTTAGTGATGGCTTTATACACTGGAAGCTGGATTCCATCCTAATACAATGTTATTCATTGTCATTGCTGAGCGAGTTTTTTTCTGTATTCTTGCATCTGTTGTAATGTTTAAAGCTTCCTGTATTATAAACCCTTAATTTTATCAAACGAGCCATTTATTCAGATTTCGAGGGGGGTTCTAAAGTTTAAGTATAGCTTTGTTTACAATAAAAATATCCTAGATAACTACTGTCTCATAAAATAAAAAGAGAACTTTTTTATATACTTATAAGACCCTTGGGATTTTTTTAAACCTTCCACTATAGTTCTAAAAATACTAACGGGCAAGACGCTGTAGACTTAAATATTTTATCAGCAGAGAAAATAAACACTAACAGATATTCCTCTAAAGTATAATTTTAAAAATACTACATTTGAGACTTAAAACATCAGGAAGACTTCACTATTAACAGAACAGTGTAACACATTTATTTAAAGACTCTGAAGTTATCTATTCTTACCAGCTACTGTAATTTTCATTTTTCTTTCAAAATGCTTAGAAAAATATTCCACCGTGTCACTATGATCTTCAATTTCTAAACAATTAGGTATATTTAATAATGCATAACTCTCAAATCAGAAGGGTACCTCAGAGTATCTTAGATCTGATATGGTTTTGAGCATTTTGGGGATAACAGACCATAGGATAATAGTACAAAGACCTTCAAAATGACCCCATAATCTCACAGCCCCAGTAGAGTGACTCAGAGCTACAGGAATCCTTTTAGATCACTAGTCATAAAGGCCAATTATATCTTTGCAATCATTCTTTAAATATAAAAAAAAATTGTTAATGCTTCCTCCAAATTCTCATTTTCATGAATTTTAATGCACCAGGCTACTATGGAATCTGTAATTACTGATTTGATGAATTTCTTATAGAACAGAGTTACAAATTTCTACAATTTATTTGACTAGAAGAGTAGTTTATTGTATGTATTCTCTCATTTAATTCTCACAGTATTCTATGGGGTATGAACGTCTATTATCCCCATTTTACAGATGAGGAAACAAAAAGACTAAGAGGGTTAAATTACTTCTCCTGGTCAGTTAATAGTGGTGGAACTGGAACCTGAACCCAGAGGGTTTAGCTACAGAGTTCCATTCTTACCCACTAGGTTGTGTCAT